ATGAAATGACTTAAAACTGAACAAAGGCTAAATGACTTCTCTTATTCCAGGGTATAACAAATCGAAAGCAATATACCGTCAAGTCACTAATTCAATTTATAAGATTATACTCACATTCATACATGTGGGAAATTATAGTTTTCAATGCACCCAAGTTGCACGTCTTCAAATACTGAGAGGTGTTGGAAACTCATACGAAGCAGAAGCAACACTTTCGTCAACACTGGAAATGACTGAGCCATCACATCAGCTCCATGAATTAAATTAGATCTAAATTTGCTGCCATTAATAGCACTTGCCATGTAAGACCAATCAAACTGTCCATCACAGTTGTTCACACACATGTCCGTCATGGCAGAGACAGAGGTACAGTCAGATGTGTGGGAAGCAGACACCAGACAGTATGAGACACACTCACACAAAGTAAGAGCTAAAATCTATCAACATCTCCAAATGGTGTCTGCCATACTTTCACTCGTGTGATTTCTTGCCACCTAGTTCTTCTTGACCAGACACCCGCGAGGTCAGAATCAATCATTTCCCTGTCAGAGTCTGTTACAGCCCACCCCGGGCTGTAATGAATCCTAATTTAAGCTGTCACCAGGACGCTTCCAGAAAGAGGCCGGGCTGTTCCCATGTGACCACGCTGCTGTTCATTTTCCCCCCCCGCCCCAAGTCAGGACATCTAAACATCCCTCATCTCACAGTCAGTGCATCGTCAAAAAAAGGACAATAACTAAAACAAATCGTCACTAAATCTGGCATGCAGGATGAACCGGCATCGTTCTGAAAACATTTCTGCAAACTGATTAATCAATTGCTGCGGAAGGAGCCTGTTTACAAGATTTTTAGATTTAAGTAACAGAACATTCTCAGACAAGCTGCAAGATAAGAGGATAAGGAAAAGGAACCAAATCACTAATTGTGATCATGTACACCTTATTAACTCCACATACCTCCAGATACTGTACTATTTGAAAACTTTAAAAGCAACATGCTGACTCAGTGGTTTAAAAAGGATGAAGCACTTGTCGAGGCCGTGTTCATCCAAAAACAGATGTATAATATATATATGTCGTGTCCAAACAATATCAATAGGATTGGAAATATTGGGTATATTTAGCATTAGGCTGTTAGTCTCTGTGACACAAAAACCTACTTGCCTTGTTCATGTGTGTTAAATAATTTAAGTACTTCATAAGAGCTGAGCAGATGGATGGAGGAAGGAAAACATGAGTGAGAACTACTACTGTGATTTGTTTTGGGTTGATTAAATTGAATATTGAATTTTAAATAAAAATATGTAAAAATCTGCTGCATCACCTCTGTAGATTCTTTAACAGAGATGGCGGCGCTGGTATCAGGGGCCGTGCAGGTGCACTGGCCCGAGGACCTTCACGCTGTGTGAAACACGTCTTACTATATTTGGCTATGAACGTTTTCAAACTAATATGTCCAACATGGCAGAAGAGGCCACGTGTGAGCGCAATAAACTGGCTGGAGCAGGCAGCTGATGCCCCCACACAGTGAGCCATCAGATCACCTCGACATCTCTCCTGATTACTTATAATGCTCTAACATGAGCTAAAATGAGGAAAACATTAGCTATTTAAGCTAATTGATATTAGGTGTGCTTCCATATATGGAGTGGACAAACTTTATGCCCAAATATGGCATTCAGCTCATTTTCTGGATATTTTAGTATTATCTTTCAAAAAACACTTTGTACCTTCCGTTTTTTTAATATACAGCACTTTGGTCGATTCTGGTTGTTATAAATATTTTGAAGGCTTCATAAACTTGACTTGTCTCGATTACTTTTTAACTTGCAACTATCAGTTTAAATTTTGATTTATTATCTTACCCACCATTCTTTTTTTCCCAGTGTACAGCTGATGGCAAATGTTCTTCAGCAAATGAAACTGACGCTAGCGTACTTTACAGGCATATAAAGTAACATGGTAAGGTAATGAGGCCAAACCGAGAGTATTGATTAGAATTAGTATTATTATGCCAGACATGGGAGACTGAGAGGCAAGGAATGAAGCAAATAAATAATATATAAATGAAATACAGCTCCACTTGGTCTGGTGGCCTAAAAACCTTGCAAGCTGTCTTGAAGCAGTCCAAACTATTTGAGAAGTTATTTATGATGAATGTATATTAATGAAATCATTTAAATTCAGAACCTGTGTTTAAAACTCAATGTTTGACCAGATCAGTGCAGAGCTAAGTATCTCCATCAAATATATGCTTCACCTCGGTCTGTATTTAACATTAATGTTGGGCTGCAGGGGAATTGGTAACACAGCTTTGCCTGAGACTGAGGGTCGGAGAGTTAACCACTCCAGAGAAAGAGAGGAGTGTGACATCGAACTGGCAAAATAATCACTGGAGACACTAAACATTATACATTTCAAAAAGGTAAGAGGTTACACCAGATAACCCACTTTGCTAGAGAACAAACACACATATAAAAACATTATTGAAACCTCTGATTATCCTGAATAGAAGACTACAAAGGAACAAACCCAATACAATTTGACATTTACAATTAAAGAGACGGACTGAGGAGGGACACAATAACTACACTAACTCATCTTCAAGTGAATACTGAGTGAATCAAAACATAACTCATATAACTTATAACGATTGTATATTGATTCAAAAAGTCATTTACACAAGTGAAATATAGAGCGTTGAGGGGATAATACTGGGAAGATGACTGTAATAAGTTTCGATTTCTGCAGGTGCTGACACACACAAACAATAAGATGTAACTGTCCTGCATCGCCAGCAGCAAAAGTTAAATGCACTCATTTTTTCTCTCTGCTGAGTCAATAGTGGAATCAGAAACTTGGCAATAATCCCTCCCATCACTCATTTTCCATATCAAACGATGAAATGTTTCGTTCCATCTATTCTTATTCAATTTATGAAATTGGGGCGTGGAGCTTTATGCTTTTACTTTAATAAAAAAAAGTTAAATACACTCAACTAATGATGGGTTTGTGTATGACTGCAAACATGTCTGACTTTCTGATCCTTGTTGGAACAGGAAAGTGTGCATGCAAAATGCACCAAACAGGCATTTTAAATAGAACATACCTGATTTTAAAAAAGAAAAGAAAGAATATACGTCCAATCTCATCTCTTCTTTCTTCACTTCTTTTCCTCTTATCTTTAATCTTCCTCTATCACACTTCCCATCACCTTCTGTCCTAACTCATTTAATCTCATCTCCGTCACCTTATCACCTTTCATTATCTCTCTAACCCAGTGTGACCTCTCTTAATCATATTTATTTCCTTTCATTGCCCATCATCTCGTGCCCCTCTTTGTTTCATTTCATCTTTCTGTAACCTCATTACATGAGACTTATATCATGCTATATATATTACAGCATGCTGCTGCTACTGTAAGTAGTGTTAGCCACTGCTCTCTTCTTTCCATGTGGAAAATCCAACAAATGAATAACAGACTCTTATAAACATGCCAACAATAGGATGTAAGCAATGGCTCACGCTGAATGCTAAAACTTGATTTGGCAGAGTGAGACCTCTTTGTATTATGTAATTGCCATGGCAAGGGCTGTGATGAATCTGCGAGATCAGTTTCAATGAAGTCATTATTTCTTTCCTATACCTCTTCAGCTGAGTGCAATGCACTTCTGAGAGATTTAATGGATGGGAGATATTTGGCACCAACTTTAGTGGGGGTGGGGTGTTTTTGTGCACTAAATTACTTTTTGACAGTGATCTGGATGAGGCTCAGAAGCAGGTTCTGGAACGCTTCAACAGTGAGGTGAGATCTGAAGCTTTCCAATAACTGCTACGCTGATGAGGAGGCACTTATGGTCTATCGCAGGTAGTCATGTATCTTCTATATTTCTTTCTTACAGTTGGCAGCAGGACAGAAATGACATAAGATGGTCTAATGAATAGAAGTGATATCAGGGAATGAGTCCTTAGAGACTTCTCACTCTCTTCAGATCTAGTTCACTCCAGCTGGCATGGCCCTGTGATTCAGTTCTTCCTGGGAGACCCTGACTCAGCACATTGAGTGATGTGGGAATCTACCTGACATCCATCTCCTACACTGCTGATGGCATGGCCCGTTGTACATTCACCTACTGGGCCACTTTTCATGAAAGGGAAAGATCATATAAAACCCTTCCTTCAGCATGCACGGGCCTTTTTGCAGCCTCAGGCAAGGACACTGTGACAAATGGTCAATGAAGCAAGTGGGCAATCACTATTATGGCAAGAAGAGTGTGCAAAGGGAGGGTGTTTGAAATACCAGTGCATTTGTAGACTGTGTTGACATCAATATAAGGAATTAAGTTTATATACCAGGGTGCAGCAGGGAAGGTGATGTGATATCAAACCAAGAAGCTCGTGGTGTAGGCTCTCAGCCTGTCATTAGTGAAGATCACACGGGCCTATACGATTAACATTGGTTGTAGTCTGGGCCACACACCTCTACACGCTGCAGGATATGAGTAAAGGAGGCAGTGGGTCGGTGAATCGATGAGCGCCTCCCAGCATCATGAAACTTAATTTAATCTCCAGGGCATTGCAGTCTATCCTCATGCATTTTATTATCCACCATCCCTTAGTCCTGACAGAGTTACCAAGAAGAGTGTTTAGCCACATGTGTCTGCTCTTTTACTCACGGAATCGCTTGCGTTTTTACGCAGCTGCTCTTCCTCTCCCAGCTCCGCGGCCGGCTCCACCACCAGCTTCTCGAAGCATGCCGAGCCCAGAGAGGAGCTCTTCTGCTGGTACGTGATCAGCTGGGACACGGGGAGCTTGGGACTCCCGTGCGTCGTCAGCTCTGGCTTGCTCCCCGTGGCTCCAGAGGCTGCGCCAAGGGGATGCAGCAGGGGTCGTCCGCCCGCGCTGGTGCCTGGGACCGCGTCGCCGCCACCGGACCTCGTGTCCCCTTCAAAGGAGGCCGGTGTAGAGCTGCACAGATTGGGCTGCGACGACGAAAACACCCGGTCCAGCTGTTTCTTTTTCCTTTTAAACATCCACAGCCCCGATTCCTTCTTGCTGCCCTCCGCGCCCCCTGCGCCGCGACGCTCCGATCCCAGTTTCGGACTGAGCCAGGGCTTGGTTTTCCCCTGGAAATTCTTCCACATCCTCCGCTGGTAGGACTCCTGTCCTTTGCCGGTGCCCTCATCCTTGGGTGATTTTTGCTCCATGGTGCCTGTGCAGCAGCCGGCCAGCCTGAGCACACTCTGTATGTATAGTGGATGGATGGCACTGTTGGGCTGCTGCGGCTCGGGACTTCCACCGATGATCGGTTTAGAGCGCCAAGAGGAAAACGCACAGTGTGGTGATGGAGGGGGTGTTAGTCGCACAACGAGCCTTGTAGAATACCTCTGCAGGCCACACTGTACATGTCATGTCACACACTGTGCAGCACGATTTCTGGAAAGCAGAAGCTCCATCTACTGAGGATTTATCTCAGTGGTGAAGTTGGAAGCTCATGCAGTGACTTCTGCAAGATTAGCTACAAAAGAAATGCTGCGCTGGGCTGCTGTCGGTCTTTGCGTCCCTGCTGTGCCCACTGTGCCTAACCAGGGTTTGGGTAAACTTCCTCATTAATTGCTTTATTCAAATGAAGGCTGCACCGTGCGCCTCCCTCTGGCCAACCCCCGTCACTTGCCTGGATCGTCTGTGTGCTGGTGATTGCATAACACAGCTTCAAAGTGCCTCGTGGAGATGTTTATGTTTCAATGGTGGGTTCACTGTCCCCTCACCTAAGTGGTAGTCTTTGCAGATTGACAAGATGTGATGGCCTCTTGATTCATTCCTTCCAAGTACAGAGCTGTGTGTGTGAGTTGACCATGACCTCTAAACCTTGGAGGTTTTGAAGACTTCTCATCTCCTATGTTGGATTGATTGTTTCTGCACAGCAGCCGTGCCTGGATCTGCTCTCCCCATCAAATGGGTCAGGCTTCAGTGAATGTTATCACCCACATGCAGCAGCCAAGAGCAGGCAGCTTCCTCTCTTTTTAGCTGCTGCTCTGCTGCTGCAGTGTAACAACCCACCACGTCCTCCCCTCTGGCACCTAGTTTTAGCCCTGTCCCCCTGGTTAACACTGTACCCAGAGTCACATAAACAAAAACACTGAGATGATAATGAACACCTCTCTCCATACTCCCTGTAGCACATGCAAGATGTAACAGCACGACCTTTTCTCTGCCAACAGGGCGGGTGAAATTGCCTTAACAAAAGAGATTATACAATTGCATGGACATGATTCAACTATTAGAGAGGAGGGAGGGTCCAAGTCCTTCTGGTGAGACACTGATATGACATTGGTATCACTTGTAGGAGTGATGATAGAGGCTTCTGCTGATTCATTCATGGCAATAGACCACTATAGAAAACAGCTTCATATATCTTGGGTAGCTTAATTATGTTTTCCCTGAAACTAGTGCAGCACCTGTCTGTGCGCTCATCCTGTGGCAACAGTTCTACAATATACTGTCACTTTGTTATCGTGTTAGTGCTGGACATGTGCAGAGCTGTTTATATATATGGGTCTATGGTGCAGAGTGACGTTAGATAACATTGTGAGCATTCTACCTGGTTTATCTGCAATGGAGATTGTATGTTTTTCAAAAAATGAAACTGAAGTTGCTACATACATTCCATGTCGGCTATTTCAAAGGTCTGACACAACCCACACAATCTTCCGATACAAGCAAGCTAGCCCACCCCCACTGCCCGCTACATCCACTTTTATTAGTTTTGAACGGGTTGTGAATCCAAATTGCACCAAATTTGACACTACACTTCCCAGGACCACCTAGAAAGCACATGGAAAATGTGAAGCCGATGAGCTGAACAGTTTGCGAGATATGTTTTTCACATACAGACAGACAGACAGACTGATGTCTGTGGAATGAACAGGAAGATATTCATCTATGAGTAATCTGAAAATCAAACAGTATAAACACCAACTGACAAACTTTCTTGTATTAAGGAATCAGTTGATATCTCATCAATCCCATTAAATAAAAGACTTTAATTAAAATCAGGAGGTGCGCTGGCAGCAGCTCTGAACCAAACTGCTCTCTCAGTTAAGTAAAGGGGGGGTGAGCCAGACACTTCCTTTCAGCTGCCAGTGGCTTTTTCTATTGGGCCAGCGAGGATAACTGATGAGACTGCATTGAGCAGGCCTTTCCTCTTAATGATGCTGGTCCTGTTGATAAGAGACTAATCCATAGTGTTTGTGGCTGCGCACACACGCACACAAACATCAGCCACACATAGATGCTCAGAAACATCTTTCGCTGACCGCATTACGTGTATTTCAGTGGAGCAACTTGATTCATGCTGAGCTATAATGTAGGCTAGGTCTTGGTTAAATTGGAAATGTGACAAGGCCTTTTTCAACCCTGGAGGTTGATTCATTCCCTTCATGATTCATTCAGTGCAGAGAAAGATGAATGTTCAATGGATAACTATAGTGCTACACAACAAAATATTTTATAATATATTGTGTGCAGTGAAAAAAAACAGAATAGAATGGCTTTCCTGACTTGGCATACGTTCCCTTCTTTTCCATGGTCAGTTAAAATAATGAAATATTCTGTTTAACAGTCTCAGCCTCCTTCAGCTAGTAAGGGGTACAGGCAGCTCTGGTTCAACCTGGTTGTACAAGCTCTGTTCCTCTTTCTGGACAAAGAGCAGTTACACTAACATGATTTAAATCTAAAGTGCTTCACTGAATCAGCTACAGGATGATGAGTCAAAGCTTTGAATTTGCTTTTTTACCTTGAAATGTTTGTGAACTGAGTCCAAGATTTAAAGCAATGGTTTTTTTTCCTTTGAATACAAAAAGCTTTTATAATCCTTATACAGCAGGAAAGAGCAGAATTTTAATCAGAAATGCCGGTGATCTGCGTCTCTAATCTGCACTGTCATGAACCACATTTAAAGCTTTTCTACTTTAATATTATCTGACAAGCAAGACCATTCAGGAAGGTCTGGATTCTTGTACTTCACAGAGATGAGCATTATCAAATATTCAAACCATTTATGAAATATCAAAATTTTATTGAGATAAGGCTAATTCTGGTCAAATGGAAATCCAAATCCAATATTTTAAATTATATATACCTTAGCAAATCAGAAAAAAGAGAAACTGGTGAATAAGATGAATAAGACATGACTTAAATCATCAATACACAGCAAAGTGTTGCAGCATCTAGGTGCATTTTGTGGTCTATTGGCTTGGAAACTGCAGCTTACTCAAACTGATCTGTTCATCACATTTCAAAGAGTATTAAGTAAAACTCAGGTTCACACTCCCGGCTCAGCAGTTAGTCAAGGGACACTGCTTCACCACAAGCAGTATTCTCGCATAACTGCTCTGACAAATTCACACTGGCAGAAGCGGGCACGCCCCAACTCAAGGAGACCACAGTTACCAAGTGACATGACAACACACACATGAAGTGAAGAAAGAGCCAACTGAAGAAAACCACACAGGCCTGTGAGTATGAAAAAGAAAGCAACTGCATAATATACTGTTCATAAAGGGGAACATATCACATTAGTCTCTTATAGTGAGGAGCTTGTTATGCTTGGACAAGACTGTAAAGATGTCTATTGATTACAGTAATAAAAAGTGATTATACATTTAACAAAGCAATACAGTTGCATTAGAGACAAGTAAAAATGACTGTAGATCTCACCAATATGTAATATGTGTTTCTTTTTAGAAAAGAAGAATGTCATATGAGTCAAAGTTAACGCCCTATCAGAATCACAGCAGGTAAAGTCCCTTTTCTAAACACTGTATTTCATACTTTATGTATTGCAACCGTCAAGCTGTTAAAATATGTACTGCATCATAGCAAACAAACTTCCTAACTTTCTGGAGCTCTCTAACTCAATTCTAAAAAGCAGCCTGTCAGAGATAAGTTCTACTTCCCCTCCTGCTGATGGGATGAAAATAAGGCTGGGAACCACAAGTGACCTTTCTAACACCGCTGTGAATCACATTGATTAAATTAATCCTTAATCCACAGTAGCATCACGCAGGGTGACACAGCACACATGGGGACATGAAGTCAATGAGAGATCTGGTTTGAGAATGACCTGAGGGTATGAAAAGCAAAGCACAACATCCCATTTCATCTTCATTATCCTTCTGGGTGGATGACTGCTTCATTGAATTATGCAGTTGACTTTATTCCCTCCCCTCCCTGAATGTTTTCCTGTGCCCTAGTGCAAGAAAATGTTAACTTGACTCTGTAAAAATAACTTTGTTGTTTAACTTTATTTTGAATTCTATGACTCAGACCTTTTTTTTTTTTTTCATCTACTTACTTCCTGATTAAGGCCTGATGTCCTGGAGGGTCGTCTGGGCGGTCAGGAGAGGACGCTGGCTGTGCTGCTGGAGCAGGCGTTTGCCATCAAAGCGGAGGTGGCAGCAGGCCTGCAGTCCGCCAAGGGCTCCGTCCAGGTCGAGGCACTTTCCCGCAAGCTGCTGGAGAGTCACATAATGACCATCACACGCATTGTCAAGCAGCTCAATGTGGACATACAGGTATACAAATAGGTAGATAAGTTGACAAGTTGTATTTCATCAAACTGTCACCTCACCCTACATTTTTTAACTATATTTTCTGATAAATGTGATATTAAAATCTGCATTAATGTATTCAATATAAGAACAATCATACAATTTAGTTTGCAGCTTAAAAATGCAATTAAAGGTGCAGTGTGTAGAATTTAATGACATCTAGTGGTGAAGTTGTACGTTGCAGCTGAATACCCCTCACCTCACCCTCCCCTTCTAAACATGAGAGAGAACATGTGGTAGTCTTCAGTTGTCAATGGGTATTTAATTTGTCCAGTTTGCACCACTGTAAAAAAACATGGCAGCCTCCGTAGAGAGGATCCACTACCCATGTAAATATAAAGTATTTAAATATAAAGGGCTCATTCTAGGGTAAAGAAAACAACAATTAGTACAATGTAGATAAAACACTAGTGAAAACATTGCTAGGATTATTTTATATTCAATATCTGCCCCCAGGATCCCTTTTACCTAAATCTTACACACTGAACCTTTAAGAGTGCAGTATCTCTTTAATGTACTATGGGCATTCAAACTAGCTGCCTCGTGGTTGAATTTGTTTTGTCTTTATCTACAGTTTTCTTTTCCTGCACACACTTTTTATCCGCTCTCTTCTTCTCGTCTGTCTTGATGAGCAGTGCACACACACACACAGAGACTGACTCGCAGCTGATTTGATTACACCTGATAGAATGGTGCACCGCCTGAGCAGAGCCTGACTGAGTGACTCTTCCTCATCAGCTCATAGTCATTGTCTGTATAAGCATCGAGCTGAAGATGTACACAGTGTGTGGTTAAATAACGACTTTAAACGTTACACAACCATGCCTGAAATACAGCAGCGAGAATCATTGCTGGAAAGTGCCAGGAGATCAGACTCTTGAGAGTGATGAAGATTCATCTTTAGTAAACTCATATTCAAACTCAGAAATGACACACGCAGCTTCATTAGTACACACCACACAGGCCATTAACATGATTACAGGCTGACATTATCTGAAATATTAGACGGACGCCTAAGAACTAATTAATATTGAACATGAAGAAGTAATAAGCTAAGCTGTTTGCTCTTGTGATAAGCCAATGTGTCGCCTTTTTGATGTTAGCTCACATTCAACACAATCCTGCGTAAACGTCACTCATGCGAAGGTGCTGATGAAACTTCTTAGTAATTAAATATTTCTACTGCATCAAAAAGGGGGAACAGAAAGGTAATTAACTCTCAACACTTAATTTATCTGCACTTGTCCTCATCCATCTTATGTTGCATTTTCATTTGCTGAGAAAATATGGCCATGGATATCAAATATAGTAGATTATATACATATATAATATGTATTCTGTCTTTGTTCCGATCACAGGCACTAGAGAGACAGATCGCCCAGCGGGACTCTGTCACATATGGAACTTCACTGGCTGTTCAAAGCTTAGACCAGAAAACCCTGGCCGGCATTGGAGACCTAAGAGGAAGAGTTGCCAGGTATGCACACACAAGTCCTGGGTCAAACGCGGTCTGGAAAAAAAAAAAAAAAAAAACTGGTGCACAACAATGAAATGAGCACCAAATCAATATTTAGAGGGCCTGTACAATAATTTATCCCCGGGTCTGCTGAGTGGTCGTACTGATTAATTCTCCTTGCAGATACTCTACTTGGGTTTTCTCCTCCTCTATGGAAGAAGAACATACAGCCTGCATGCTGTCTGGCAGCTCACACACAAATTATTCCACTCTCCCCAGACTGACGTTTCTAGGTTTGCACACACTCTGATCAGCACTTCCTCATTATTTTAGGTCTGTGCAGATTACCCTTATTAGACTGAAGAGGCTCTGTCATCTTAGCGCTCTGCTCAACAGTACATGTGTCAGGATTAAGATGTGGTGTGATTTTGTTAACTACGGTCTCACAACAGGCCTGCCCTCCCCCATGTTGATTAAGAGGTCGGTGGTGAGAGGGGACATTGGCTATGACTTACCAAACAACTGATTTATGGTCCAATAATGTGTATAGAAAAATGCCACCTACTCAGTCTAATGAGTTCTTGCATAGTCATAAATAATCAGGTACCTAGGCTAAGGGCCAGAGGTTTCAGTATTGGTATCTAAGGCTCTCTATTGGGGTCTACGGGGAAATAACCCAAATTGCAAATTGAACATTGCAATAATTAGCTGCTATATTGGAGCTGGATCACAAATATTATATTGACAAACAAGAATAATCAATTAAACCAATTTTATTATTGATCGTATTGTTTTGCCTGTTTGTCAGCTACCCTTCAATAAATGCAAACACATATGCACTGGAGCAGTTACATGTGTTTGGTCAGCATTTAAAGGTTAAGTCGCACAGCTCCAGATGCAGCAGAGCCTTCTTTGGTGTCCATTAGCTCACCTTGGAAAATACTGATGAGGCCAGCTGTCAGATTTTTTATTCCCCCATTTCACTGTCTGGTTGTCAGCCATCCTAACTGTGGACGCTTCCCCCCGAACTTCCCATTCTTCACACTCCTTCCTTATCTCCCTCCCAACCCCATATGGTGTCTTATCCCCCCCACTGTGCTTCCTCAATTATTACCTCAGGTGTGATGCCAGCATCGCCAAGCTGAGCGCCAATGTGAGCTCTGGGGAGCGGCACATGATCAGGCTGCAGCAGGAGATGAAAGAGCTCAGAGCAGGTGTGGATGTGAAGCTGGAGGAGCTGGAAGTCAAGGTGAGAGATGGTGCATCATTGCCATGGACCTTATATAAAGATGGACGCCACGACTGCTCCCAAAAAGTGAGGCCAAAGCATTTTGATTTCCCTCTGGTGGTTGGCTGCAGTATAGGTCATTAAAAAAAAAGCATCCTCTGTGTTAGCAGATGGGACATGCCGACCAAAAAGTCAAAGTACATATTATATTTTTTAACCCTTTTTTGTAATTTTAGGTCATTCTAATAACACTGATGATTGCAGCAGGTTTGGTTTTCATTATATATTTGATGCTCACCTCATGTTTGACAGCTGACAACGGACTCATTTGGTCGAGCATGTCTATATGCGCGACCTCAATACGCAGGCTCTTCCTCCAAATTATGTCACAGGCACAAGATGGCAGCGTTCTTATCTGGGATATGTTGGCCTCATTTCTGGATAGTGGGAGGAAGTGGAGGTGTGTTGTCCATCTTTATATAGAGTCTGTGTTCATTGCTGTCAAAGGGTTTGGCAAAAGAGACGTGAATCAGTTTAATGCTTCATACAAGACGGCTACACATTCATATGTCTTTGATCTCAAACACAACTCAATGGATTGCTATGAAACTGTGTTCAGACACTCATGGTCCTCAGAAGATAACCCCGGGGACAGTGGTTGTCCTGTGACTTTTGCTCTTGTGCCACCATCAGGTTGAATATCTATTGAGTGCCACTGGATGGGGATTACATTCATTTAATTGCTGCTTCCATGAGAAAAATAATAATCTGATAATACACAGGGGGTGTTTCTGTGATTTGGAGGTTACTGCTGCCACAATCACAGAACCTGATAGATGGAAATGAGAAGTAAAATAAATTTAAGGATAAGGAAAGACAAGTCTCTCCATTGATACCTTATACTGGTCACACACCCAAGCTGATACAGTCTGTAAGCTGTTCTGTTTGTGGCACAAGGTGGTAAATCACTGATGGCAGCCCATTAGCCGCGGAGCAGTGGTCAAGCATGTACAGTACCACCATAAGGATAATTGAAAATGCAGAGAAAGTGGGTCACTGCTGTTTTGTGGCTGCAGGAGTGGTGCAGTAGCTTGATCGGCTCGAATCAGCAGAAAATGCGAAGGGTAAAGGTTAGTTCATGGCGCCATTACCACAGGATGCTCTCACATCACATTACGGAATATGTTTGTTCTTTACTCAGCTTCATCGTGACCTTGACAGACTGTCGGCATCATTGACAGAGCTCACCCAGAACCAGAGGAGCTCCATGTGCGATCTGCATATACAAGTTCAACTACTAGATGAGAAGTAAGGCCATTTATCTAAGTGTAAGCACAACCCACACTTGGATAGTTATCTATACAAAGGCATATTTCAGTTTTGTTTCTCATCTTTTTATGGAATGACAGTTCACAGTGTTTAGGTACATTTACAGCAACAGGAGCAGCAGTAGTGACGAGTGGAAAAACAAATGTAAGAAAACTAAAATGCTTACAACTGATACTGTGAAACGAGAATGGCCCTGCGTCCCCTTAAAGGTACAGTGTGTAGAATTTTCTGATATCTATTGTTTAAATTGCATGTTGCAGCTGAATAGTCCCTGACCTCCCCCTCCCCTTCCAAACATGAAAAAGAACCTGTGGTAGCTTCAGTTGTCAATAAAACTCTAAAGGTGTTTAGTTTGTCCAGTCTGGACTAATATAAAAAACATGGCGGCCTCTGTAGAGAGGGTCCCCTCGATGAAACTGTTTGTAACAGTATAGTCAGAGCAACACATCTTCTGTGATGGTGCTAATGTTATGTGGAGACATACTGACGTCACTTTATCATAATTCCATACTTTCTCCAGCCTTGAATGTCTTGTATTATTCAGTGTGCTGCTTGTGACTGACGAGAACGGCAGCTAAATCAAGTCAAACCAAAAAAAGTGGCACTGTTTCTGTGGAAGTCTCAGCTCTAATTAACACAGACATTAACAGCTATTGATTAATGATTGACACTTTGTTTTCACAGCACAGACATTTTACTTGGGGCAAGTTGTTTATTAGACAAGGGGTGCCAATTAACTATAGGTTATGGAAACAAATTATTTTTCGGTTGCCAAGCACTTCGGAGGAACTGGATATAACAAATCTTAATTATTTAATAATTAACAGCAAGTGTTGCCCACTATTAGATCCTCAGGTGTCCAGACCGGGGTCAGTCTATTTGCATTTATCAGACTTTTAAAAATCTATTCCCACCCTCTAAAGATAAGATAATAAGAAATAAGATCTTAAAATGCAGCCTGCAACTTGAGCTATGACTGCATCTTCAAAGTACATCCTACTGCATGTTTGTACTTTCTTGGTAGGATGTCAGGTGGGCTTAGGGAGGCCAAGGAGCAGACAGATTCACTGAGAAAGTGGACAGAACAACAGCTCAACAGCTTTCTGCAGACACATGCACAGAGCAGCCAGCACGACTCACAACTACAAGATAAAATGGTAGGACCCACAGTTTATTTAGGATATGATACAGCATATCTTTTAGGACAGGAAGTGTTCAATAATGTTTACCAGGAAAAAGGCTATTTCTATATTTCTGTATTTATTAATTTATATAGTTCTTCATTTATTTCTGTATTTATACATTTCTGACATTTCTGATTACACCACCATACAAAAATCTGGCTTTATGCTGTGTTAAGCCTGCCTACCTAACTAACATAGAAAGACAAATAAATAAATAAATGTAGGAATACAAAAATACATATGTAATTGAATGGATGATTGTAGAAATCAATGAATGAATGTATAGATAAATAGATGAATTACATAAATAAATATTGAAATGTATCAATTAATTCCTAACTGTAAAATGAATGAATAAAATATTAAATGAAATATGCACATCAATGTTGAAATATAGAAATAGCCTTTTTCATCCAAAACTGCATTTATTTTTATATACTGTAACATTTTTTTGTCCTTCATATTATCTATGCATTGTGTGTCCTCTTCCTTTGCTGGCTTGACCTGAAAGAGACAACAGTTGATTTTGTGGTGTTGAAAAGTGCAGGGTCAGTCGCACTTCCCAAGCTGTGAATCAACATTCTTAACTATTTGCTATTCAAGTGGAACAGATGCTGAGAAAGCTGCAGAGAGTCTAATAGTGTTTTGTGTCAGCAGATGGTTCAAGGTGGCACATGAATGAACATTTGTAACAATCAATATATAATTTAAAATTAACGTTGTCACCTGTGATGTACATTTCATACTAAAAAGGCAGGTTAATCTTTTTTTAGCAGCATCTTTTACACTTTGATTTTACTGAAGTTGAAAAAGTTTGAGAAACTTTTTAATTGTTTCATCCTTTTGTCATTACACAATCATCATTTTTCACTCCTGTTTCATACCACAGATGAGCAGAAGAACGCAATAGTGGCTGCAGGTATACAGAGTTTTCTCAAAAGTTTAGTAAAAAGATTTTGAAAATAAAGCTCAAATGTGAAGATAAGATAAACATTATTGATCCAATGTGAACTCATTTGTTACAGCAGCAGATGGTCAAAAAAGATAGACCAAAGAACATGTTAAAGTATAAAATATAAAGAGTGAAAGAAATTATATATAATAATCTCACTACAGATGGAATATTATGGGTAGAGAAAAATGCAATGGCATAGGATGATTGCATTGATATACTGTTTTTCTTCATTATGTATATGTAGATATTGAAATAAATATATAGGCAGGTATGGTTTTCTATATCAATGATCAATGTCTTTGAATCAGGATTTAAAAAGAAGATTCAGGGTGTGAGGATTAAAAAGCTGTTGTGCAGTATTAAGGGTTTTAATTGCTGGGTCTTACTTGTATGTGTGTTTTGTGTTCAGTTGGAGTCAGAATCTAAATTAGCCATTCTGCTGCATGCTCTGGAGGCCCGGGTGGAGCTGTCTGAGACCCAGCGAGTACAATCTGACCAAAGTCATGCAGATCGGCTGAAACGCTGTGAAACCAAACTCAGAGAGAGAGTGAGCTCAGTAAAGAGCAGCCTGCATCAGGAGCTGCAGCTGCTCAAACACGAATACTTAAAAGGTGGGTGATCGCTGTCTGTAACTGACTGTCATCAGCGAGTAAATACACACAGTGCATGTACCTTACTATATACGTCAAGGAAAAAATGCACATGCAAAACAGAGACACCAAGTGAGAGGCTGTTCCTAATTTGTCATAAATTGAGTTAAATGACCACTTGACAAATTCATTTCTTTTGCACACAAATGAGATTCTCACTTCAGTTAGGGTGACAAAACTGAGAAAGGTGAGACACACACACACAAAGGACATTTCCAATTCAGTCTTTGATCAGACTTACGAGTTTGGTGAAAAGGTCAGCAGTCGAATCAGGTGGAAGTATCCAAACCAGAAAGGCAACAGACAAGTAAACATATCTGGGGAACAATGATGGTTCCCTCACTACTGATGAGATGAAGTGGTGGAAAACAAAAGGAAACACAGACTAATTACACAGGTGAAATGAATCAAAGGCTGGCAGGTAATCATGAAGGGCAGGAAGGCCGACAAAGACAGGAAGCAGAGTCCTCCGAAATGAGAAACACTACGTACAAAATAAAACAGGAAGTAACAAAGGTACAAATACATGAAAAAATAAGTAGGAAAAATAAGTGAGAAGCAAATCCAAAAACCAAACTCAAGAAAAATAACAAAGCCAAAGTCCATAAACTTAAAAGCCAAAAGTCAAAGACCTGTCAAACCACTTCAACCTCTTCATTCAAGTATAAAAGTACAGGCTCTGAAATGCACTCAAAGTATAAAAGTAAAGACCATTTCTATCAGCTTTTTCTGTGCAAGTCAAACTGAGACTTACGTCACATTTATACAGTTTGAATACTATTAAACATAAACCACTTCAAATGAAACAAATAAAAATTATACTAAAAACTGAGGTTACACACTTTTGGACTACAGTATATTCAGATAATGGTATATGATTCCCTATAGACCACTCTTTACATCACCAAGACACTACTCAATGTAGTATGTTTACTTTATCGCATGAGGTCAAGGAAATATCTTTATGCCGAAACCCAGGATTGAACCAGGTACCTTTAGATCTTCAGTCTAACGCTCTCCCAATTGAGCTATTTTGGCTCTTACAGTGAAGAAAATATGGAATATCTAATTTTTTTTAACTTCCTTTAAGAGATCTTGACGGAAGTATGCATTTTCCAAGTGCCCTTCTGGTTTTACATGTTAGAAGCAGCCAATGGAAAACATAAATTCAATAAATAACTTGACAAATGCAAAAGTGTCAGACAGTATGAGACTACAATACATTGGCATATCATAGTATACAATTTTCTGTGGCCCACAGAGTACAGTTTACTTACTTACTACTACTTACTAACATTACCATAGTATGGTTTATACTTTGAGGTAAAGGAAACACTTTTTTGCCGAAACCCGGGATCGAACCAGGGACCTTTAGATCTTCAGTCTAACGCTCTCCCAACTGAGCTATTTCGGCACATTCAGTAAAGAAAATATAACCATCACGATCGATGTCAATAAATAATATATTGAACAGATTTTATCAATCAAGGGGAATTTTTGTTAACTACCTTTAAGAGATAGGGCACAAGTCTTTAAGCGTTTTCCAAGTGGCCTTCTGGTTTTACACATAAGCTGCAGCCAATGTAAAACATTAATTAAATAAATAACTTGAAAAGGCAAATGTGTGGATGTTAATGTGTTGGACGGTATGAGACACTTTGAGACTACAGTTTACTGACATATCATAGTATATAATTCACTGTGACCCGCAGAATTTAAGGTACTATGCGACAGTATAACATTACCATAGTATGGTTTATACTTTGAGGTAAAGGAAGTGCCAACCTGCCGAAACCCGGGATCGAACCATGGACCTTTAGATCTTCAGTCTAACGCTCTCCCAACTGAGCTATTTCGGCTCCTACAGTGAAGAAAATATGACCGCTCCATTCTTTATGACTATATATGTGTGTATAGATATATTGAATCTAGAGGTCAGTCAAGGGGAATTTTTGTTAACTTCCTTCAAGAGATAGGGCGCAGGTCTTGACAGAGGTATGGATTTTCCAAGTGCCCTTCTGGTTTTACATGTTAGCAGCAGCCAATGGAAAACATAAATTAAATAAATAACTTGACAAATGCGTTGGACAGTATGAGACACTTTGAGATTACAGTATATTGACATATCATAGTATACAATTTACTGTTGCCCGCAGAACATGCCGTACTACGAGACATTACCATTACCGTAACTTTGCTGTAGTATGGTTTATACTTTGAGGTAAAGGAAACACTTTTTTGCCAAAACCCAGGATTGAACCAAGGACCTTTAGATCTTCAGTCTAACGCTCTCCCAACTGAGCTATTTCGGCACATTCAGTGAAGAAATTATAACCATCATAATATATGCCAATAAATAATATATTGAACAGATTTGATGATCTGATGAACAGCAAGCATCTTTAGCAATGACCTTTTGTGGCATACCCTCTTTGTGTCAATGACTGAATATTTTAAACATTGAGATGTTTTGGCTTTACTTTTGGGAGTTATATCAGCCCTTGAGAAACCACATCGGTCGACCCCTATTGAGCAGGCTGGCCAGAGGCCCAACACACACAACCTCAATCTCAAGCAGCACCCAGAGAATAATGCTAATCTCAAATGTATTATGTGTAATAATGGTATCATACCTCTTTTGGACAGGGTTCCGCTCTGTGCATGATTCCATGGAGTCCCTGAGGCAGATAGGGGACATCAAATCTCGTCTTGACAAGGACGAGCTGCAGAAGGATAACAGGCACGTGCAGCAAGGTGGCAGAGATCAGTGACTCGTGACTAAAGGGGAACTTCTTTGAGGCTGCTCCGATCCTGAAGTGATCAAGTCACTCTTTTTATATCAGAAGACTTCACTCTCATTATCTTCTGTTTGCCAACAGTTATTAAATACTCGAGATATATGTAATGTTCTCCCTCTCTGAAAAAGTGAGATGACCTTACAGTTTTAAGTTATAAATGAGTATCACTATAAATGAAGCATGTGACTTAAGAAATATTACCTTGATCATTTTTTTTCAATATTTTTTGTCATTGTTGTTTAGATTACTGAATTAAAAGAACGTAATAAAAGAAACTATCAAAACAATTTGTTTTGAATAAATGAAAAAATATTCATCTAGAGTATAATAATAAATGATTTTTAAAGATGACATGTGTTTTCCATGATTTAACAGATAATTCTTATTGGTTGCTGCCAAGTTCGTCCTGTCAGTGTCGTGTCCACAGCCTGTCTCTGCTGCTCCCTGGTGGCCAGAGGCCTGGTGGCTTGCTATCCATCCAATTTTTCATTTATAGAATCTGTAAATAGAAAAGGTGTCTGACCTCATCGTTGTCTTTGCATTTATACAACAGAGTCAAAATCACACCTTCTACCTACTGTTGAGGCTCGCTACTGCTATGATGTGGTATTCACATGTATCAATAAAAATGATTATTATTACTATTTATTTATTTACTTTTATTATTGAACCAGAGCAAACTAAAGCTTGAGATGAAAACACTACTGAATTAAAGGTATTAACAGAATGTTGCACTATTAACACATTATTTCCCCCAGGAGCCAAAAAAAAGAGATGATGATGATGAGTAATAAACTTACGTTTGCCAGTTGGTTAGAAACAGACTCCATGTCGAAACACATTACCACGTGTTGTGACCATATATCTCTGCTGCTCTCTAGTGGGCAGGAGGGTCATCCAAATTTTGATCGGGCTCCAGGAGATCCACTGCACCTTTAGTCTGGAAACATGTTTTTCAAATAACTAATTAATAAACCAAACTTACCAGGAAAATTAGTAATTGAACATGACGCTGGTAAGAACAACTTAAAATAATGATAATCCTAAAAAAAACATCAGTTACTGAGCAGGTAGACATTACAATGGTAAGGTTGATCTATTTCAAGTTTTCATTTAAGTGCATTTAAAGTTGAACAAATTTGAAAGAGTAAACATGAGTGTTGTGAAAGCAGCTGGTGGCCTGCACGGTTCTAAGGCAGAGCAAGTGAAGTTCAAGATTAAAGATTTTCAGCCTAGTTGTCTGAGGCAGTTGTGCATTAGCATATAGATCTATTCAAACTAAATTACAACTGATCCTAAGGTCTATTGCAACGCAGGAGGGAACCTGCCCTCTGGTGGCGTAACGACAAAAAGTTAAAACTACTATGGCCAGTACGGGGATTGAACCCGCGACCTTGGCGTTATTAGCACCACGCTCTAACCAACTGAGCTAACCGGCCACAAAAAAAAGAAGAACATGTCACTCCCAGCATTTATTGGGGGTCCATGTGTGTCTGTGCTGAAGATGGGATGAGACTCATTTAAATACACTTCATGAAGAATGACCCGTCAACATGTMGTGCTCAGTACAACACGAGACGAGACGATCACAGTCAGGACTCAGTGAGAAAACAACATGATCAGACACCATCGATTAATAACTCAACTTTGTTT